GTGTAATCTACAATATAAATTTTAAATGTGAAAACAAAGGAAACTCCTACTCAACAGGCTGGTTTTGCACATTGCTATTCGGTCATTGCACTGCTGAGTAGTCTATAATCGTCACGTGGTAATTTATGTCTGATCAGGTTGTCTGTTCATGTCACGTGAACGTGAATGCCGCTGCAGGTATTAGAAATATTGACCTCGTATTGAGACGCAATCGTTTTCTCCCTGGACTACCACCCCTGTTTGCCATAATCCTGATTTCAAAATAAAGTTCGGTAGACTGACCAGATAAATTCAAGCTTGGTGTGTAGCAATGCAAAAACCTTCTTATATCAATTGCATAAAGTTGATTTACAACTGAAGAGACGCGTGCCGTCTGTACAATATAGGAAACCATAAAAATTGTTGTCACCGTACTGAAATATTTAACTGAACTGCGTTCTATACGATCGCATAACATGATCGAACCTATGTACGGTGCATATGGTCCGATTTGTCTTATACGATGCCTCAGCAGGCTTGACGACCTTGTAATTGACTTTTTAAATAAGTTCGCAAGACATTTTTAATGTTCCCATTAGGGTAGACAGATTTTCTTTCCACACTACTATTTTCACACAAGCCTTTTCATTTTAAACGATACATTTTAATTATTCAAAATGTTATAGTTATTATTATAAAGAATAAATATTATAAAAAAAAATTAAACTGAATAATATTTCACCCTATATAGTAAGTGAAACAGGCAATTTAGGTTACGTGGTCTTGCAATCCTTCGAAGTCCATATACACTTGAAGATTTCGTCATCGTAATATGTTGTAGGATAATGTTAAACAAGTTTAAGTCTTAACGTGTAGACATAACAGCTGAGTTGCATTGGCATTGCAATGGAAGTAAAAACGTGCTGTTAGCGCAAATTACAATATGGGCCCAAAGGGATTATATTTAGCTTTCATTATTCATCATCAGGTACAGCCTAATTCATTCATGGTTCGTGCCTTCAACCATGATCTTGATAATGTCGTCAATCCATCTCATTGCAGGACATATATATATATATGTTATCAGTGATCACCATGTCATTTTCTGGTGCTACTTTGTATATACGAAATGAGAATGTGCATGGCGATTTGAATATATAGCTCATAGATAAAGTGATAAAAAAGTACACCGAAGCTCACGAACATGACTTCATCATCACGTGAACCTTTGTGGCTAGCAACTAGTGAACAATACAAATATGGTGCGTAGACTATAAAGTACTAAATACTTTAGTAGCTGTAGATCTCCTTGAGAAAGAGTTTATCCAGGGAAGTACTGCCACCTTACCTGTTTCTGCCGCCAAGCAGTAATATCAGCATTATTGTGTTCCGGTTTTGAAGGGTTAAGGGTGCTGGTGAAATTACAGGCACATGGGACTTGTCAACTTATGTCTCTGGATGTCGGGCGCAGTGACAGTGCCCCTCAGATCTTTGCGATTTAAAGCTCGACTTGTTCGTCCCGTTACTTGATTTTATAAAAAAAGGGTTTCTAAAAGTTTTTATTGAATTCTTGCACTAGCGTTGAATAGTATTTTTTTCACGAAAAATTATGATAGACATAACATTAATACGGGGATAAAAATAAACATACATTAAAAGGGCAATGTACTTATAGGCTTAAAAAGTTGTTGGTGATAAAAATTTGCTATTTAAGCAGTTTAAAATAGTATATTCAAACAAAAACATTATTACACAGCTTCCGTTTAATTTGTTTTTATCAATGATATTTGACATTAGACAACGTACATTAGACAACATTACATACGGTGCTCTTATCCCAAAGTAAATAACTAAAGCGCTTGTTTTATGGAAATCGGAAACAACAACGATACACAGTCCCAGACCCGAGACAATATAGAAAAAGTTAGTTTTTCTACATTGATCTGGCCGGGGATCGAACCCGGGGACCGCAGGTGAACGTCATGAAAACAGGTGTCCAAGTCATTCGACCACGGAGAACGTTAAATAGATATTGTAAATGATATTAATATATACAAATGTTTATTTACAAAGAGCAACCTCTGGAGTATCTTACTCATTCTTCTCAGTGAAATCTGCCTTACGAATGAATTTGCACACTAACGGTTCAAATGTATCGGGAGAACAATCTGGACGCAGTCGGAGCCACAAAAATGAAATCCGGGGGCCGTGTGTTTCCCGAAAAGTACTATTTGGGTAGCCCCAACAAAGCCGTTTTTTAGGCAAATGCGTACCATCGTCAGTCACATCGTCGTTTAACATCAGGTGAGATTGTGACCAATGCTGTGCCAAGCAATTTAAAAAAGAAATGTTTCTTTTTTTAATAATGCCAAGTAACGGGACGATTGTTCATGAAACTGGTGTTAAGCGGTAAGCCTGTCCATAGCAGTTACAGTGTAACTGAGTTTTAAGTCGAAAAGATCTGAGTAGCACTGACACTGCACCTGTCACCCAAGTCAACAAGTTCCATGTGCTTGTAATCTTACCAGATTTTCTTAAATTGGTAGGACTTGAAATGAAATCCAGGGCCGCTGTGCCACCGATGTAGGTCACTAGATCTTATTTAGGAACTAGGATCTTATCGGTGGATCATCTCTGTCCAGCGCTTTAACTTTGATTTCCTGATAAGACACGATATAAACGTTTTTCCTTATCTGATAGAAATAGCTTCGTCTTGGTTATCCTTTGCCTCTCTTTCCTTCGATCTTCCCTACTATAATGTTTCTAAGAAAACTATCTTGTCGCAACAGATGCCCAAACATATTTCTCCTGCGGTTCTCTATTATTACATCCTTACGATAATTGAGCATCTTATAATGGCGTCTTTAAAGATTTCTTTTGAAGGAAAAAGATATACTAGTTCGAACATTACTTCGAAAGTATTGCGGAAGAGTGCGCAAACGCACCGTTGGGTCCTAATGATCTAATTTGAGCGCATCAGATTTCCCGAGTTGGGCCATTTCGCGCGACAGGCTTCATAAAACTTGCTTATTGCACATTTTAAGAGCAGTAGGTTAAGTTCTCTCATTGTAACTTCAAAGATATTCTACAGTACAGCTTTAAAAAACGGTGATCAGCAGGTTTGCCTTTGTGGAGGGTCGTCTCTCTGATTCAGATCTGAACATAGCCGATTATGGGAGTTATCACTCTTATTGACGCAGAATCGTGTAAGAGCGAAAAAGACGTCCTGCGTTTCGCACCGGTTCGTACGTACGTGCTCGACCCAGGTCGGCACTGAATCTGTTTCCTGCGAATTTCCGATCGAGTCCATACGCATGACGACAGCTGATCCTGGTTTAGAAACAACTGGTGCGACGGTGCGCGAACGGCCGCGTCAACGGTGAATCGGCTTAATGTGTCAAGGTGTGGTTAAACACGATTGCATCAAGACGATTTCGCGTTAATAAGTTTGGTGACTCCTTAAGCGGATAGTGTACAGGATATAATCACGGAGAGTGTGCGACGGATTCGCATGATTCAATTCCACCTTCACCTTTCCATTATCGATCAATAGAAATCTTGAGTGTAAATAGAGACATGTGAATATATGTCAGTGTGCGTACCTTATATGTTTACAATTACGCAATTGACCATTTTGACTTGCTGATTTTCGCGATTCTACGCGCCATGGCAGGTGGTGCGCCTGCGCAAGTAATGGCGGATTGGCGTGCGCGCCGGCTCATTAGCGATCACCAAACACCGCCGCTCGAATAGAACAGTTATTTTTGAGCACACCGCCTATGCCATTTCGTAATTTCATACGGCAAATGTTGTATTATGATTATGGGCTCAATTGTTCTGTATCGGTTTGGATTTTAGGTTATTACAATGTGAAGATTATGTTTCACTTAACAACTTAACGCTCGGACCTAATGACTCTCATCCCTTGGAGTATGGGCCGGGCACTGGTGTGGGATGCCACATGTTCTGACACGCTTGCTCCATCCCATCTCCAGCATACCAGCAAAAGGACTGGCTCCGCAGCTGAGTTGGCGGAAAGAATAAAACGTAATTAGTACCAGGACCTCGGCTTCGACTGCTTATTTACAGACTTTAGTGTCGAAACCCTTTTCCCGTGCGGTCCCAGTGCCCCTAAATTTTATCCAAAAAATAATAGATTGTCTGGGAAACCCAAGAGTCAGCTACCTTGCCCAGCGCATAGCATCTTGGGCACCTTTTCGCGGGGAACCAATTTTATCCATATAATTTAATCCTACTTTTACTTTGTAGTGCTCAATAACAAGGGTTCTAAATATTGAAGAACAGATAAAAAAATAGGTTCGCGCACTAGGGCTGCGTGCTCCTGGAAGCTGGTAATGTTTTCAATTTGGATAGTTAAGTTTATACTTTGGTGCAAACCAGTCTTTTGGGCATCGGAGACGTCAACGAGGCAACCTGTAAGCTTCTTAGCTACAAGCCTGTGGCTTCCAGGAAACCAACGTTTGTATCGCAAAAGGCACAAGACTGCACTGGCTGAAGTCGGAGTATTTGAGCACTTCGGGATTCTGGACTGGTGTGATGGAATCCGCGCTGCTCATAGGAGGAGGCCACAGGGCCTAAACAGGTCCCTTGCTACACCAATTGGGTGTCCAGATTCAATTTGAAAATTTATAATATTTTGAGTTAATTTGGAAATTGTGTCGATTTGTAAAATAATAGTAGAATATATTTTGTAAATGGGACTTGCAAATTGATTAGATATAACATTAGACTTGATAAAAACAGTACAATAAGACAGTGTGTATATTCTTCATGTGGTTCTTATAGAGGAAAACAAGAAAGAGGGACATCATCGGACGTCTGGATAAAACATTAAAATATGGTAAGACGAAATCGGAACTCATCATAAAAAACGATTCCACATTTTGAGGGGGTGTCGCCTGAAAGTGAAATTAAAAATTGGCCCAATTGTCATCAAAATTTCTCATACAAAAATTACCAGGCGAGCATAACTTAACAATCTGGTGTTCTGTTGTCAACAGAGACCGCCGTCGTCGTCGCTGTCGTACGGCGGCGCGGTGAACGACGACGTGCGCTCGCCCGGCTCCGGCGGCACCCCCGGCCCCCTCAGCCAGCCCCCGCCGCAGACCCTCGATGCGACTGATCCAGGTGAGCTCCTCACATAACCTAACCTCCTCGTGTTTATGAAATCTTAGTATCTGATGCAGAATAGATGAGCAATGATTCAGACAGAAACTTAGAGGATCTGACAGAGTACAAAAACGTCATGTGATGTGAACAAATTTCCTGTTCAAGGCGTAAAATATTTAACAATACTAAATATAAGCGTACTATTAGAGGTGGGTTTGTCCTCTTTTATCGTCAGTAGGGCTCTCAAAAGCAATCAATCCCCCAAACGCAAATTACTATTTTATCACCCAACCAGCCGAAATATCCCATTGTCTCCATCCACCTCCATATTCCACCCGAATCAACACTGCCCATCCATCCATCACCACCCACGCATAGCTGATTCTCACGGCACTTCTCCCAGTCCTCGCCCACTGCTTCCCTGCGACAATATTGTTGCTTCTTGTTTATCAAATTAAGAGAATGTTGCATGTTGTTACAAATATATAGGTCGATGTTTGATTTATTTTACTACTAGAGAAAGTTTTGTGCAAGTTTGAAGTTTTTTTACAGCCGTTGTTGTTAAAACTGTTAACTTTATGTTTCCCACTAAGCGACGCAATGATTCTTAGACTAGACTATATTCCCTTTTCAAGGAATATAGTCTAGTTGGAAGAATAATTTCCCCATTATCGTAAAAATGATTCCTTATTGTTACTACGTAATGTTATCAGTTTTCCCTTTTTACCAAGCAACTTTGTTTCTGTTACGAAATGTTGCATACACATTGCATTTATTTGCATTCTAATCGCATTCAATTGCTCACTTTACCCAAGCTGTGAAAATAAAATGTAATAGTAAAACTCGTAAGAATATTACTTTTTTAAATAAACAGTGTTTTATAATGAATGCATTGAAGAAAATTGTACTTATAAGTGTGAAGTTAACAAAATTTAATTATTCGTAAAGGGTATGCGACTGAAATTCTAATGTCTCATTATATATCTTAATCTCCGGTCATAGGTCTCAAAACATTTTACTTTCAACTGTCATATTACAATGGTCTCCATCATTAAGCGCCTACGCATCCTCCACCTAACAATTAACTTGTGTCTCGGATCTAGATCCGACGCGATACGTCAACACCCCTTCAAGTCTCATTCAACACTGACAGCCATCCTTCTTCTTTCAAATTTCGAAATTTGAAAAAAGAATCCATCGCCAATTGGTCATCATTCGTTTGTCAACGTTCGGAAATCTATTAGGAGCGTTCGAAACTCTCAACGCTCAGACGCGACATGTGACGTTTTCAAACTTGATTGTGTGTCATGTAGGTTTGGTTTGAAAATGACGGATGGTGTCGTATTGGAAGGAGGAGTTAGTGCATTCTGAAAGCGCGTTCACTGACAATAGGTATTGAAATGAGGCGGAGGACACTATTTGTGAGGCATGTATCGCGACGTATCTACGATTATCGGTATGATATTGCCGCAGCGGTAATTTGTGTGGGATTACATTGTGTATTATTCAAATTTGCCTGTAGCATGTGGAAAGTCGGAGAATGAAAACAGGTGTGGTTAAGACGTGCGGTAAATATAGAAAGCAGAATGTGAAGCTTATGATTTCTCGTCAATGCAGGTTTCTTAATAATCTTATTTATATTAATAGAAATACAGTACGTTTTTAAACGACTTCAGAAAAAATAAGGAGGTTGTCTTTGCGACTGTATTTTTTTCTTCGAAGCCCTGCAGGAACTTTCATGAGTGGTGTCTACACTCCTTATTTAAACTAATTATTCTTTGTTGCGATTTGGTGAAGTTAGGTTTTTTGAAAACGAGGCACCTATCCCACTGCGGCATCTATCCCGGTTTTACCCTAAATCAGGTTTATTGGATTTCAACCGCTTTCCATTAATCATATTCCACAAAGTTTTGAAGTTGGTTTATTTTTGTTTTTAAATTAGGTATGAGAAGGAGAATAATTTTGCGATTGTGTAGGTTATTGCGCTATTCATTTTTATTCGTCCAACTTCTTTAAAGCTGTGTTAGCCTGATTGTTTTACCTACCGCCTCTTGAGCAGAGGCTCGTGGGTTTTGAATCCGGGCTTGAACCTATTGAGTTATACTAAAATTTAAATACGATAATTATTTTTAAATTCACCATGAGCTTTTCGATGAAGAGAAACATCGTCAAAAAACAGGAACATATCTACAAAGCAAGTTTATGTGTGTGAAGTCCTCGATCCGCATTATGCTTGCGTGAAATAGTTATTATTATTAGCTTTTTTAAAGTAATAGCGACTTAGGGTCGTATTCTAGAACTCTACTCAATGCTCAAGTCAGGTTTGCACTGGAAACACAAGCACTGGAAATACGACCCTAATGGAAGGGACTTGAGTATGATTTCGAGTGCTTTAAACCATACTCAAATCCTGACTTGAATTGAGTAGAGTTCTAGAATACGACCCTTAGACTCGATCGAGTATGGAGTACAATTGTCTAGATATACGTATTAATATAATATGTACGCTAATATAATTTCCAAGCAAACCAGATAGAAATGTGTAAAATGTAGGGCGTCCAAATGTTTATATATTTATATATTGTTAACTTGCCTCCGTGGCCGAACGGTTACCATGCCGGATTGCCACGCAGAGGTCCCAGGTTCGATTCCCGGGCCGGCCAGAAATATTTGAATGGCCTACATTTATTTATCTCGTGAGTTTGGGTGTAATTTGTGATTGTCTAATTGTATGTCCATGGCACCCGCGACACAGGGTTTCCCTAGTGCGGGGCTATGTTGAGTGTGTGCGTTAGTATTATTTATTTATTTATACATTTTCTTTACAAACACGCTCCAAAGGTTTATATATTTTCAAGGCAAGCGTAGTATAAATATGTGAATATGAGACCATACAAATATGTGTGAATTTTCGTTGACAATCGTTTTCTATTCTCGATATATCACTTGATATTAATGTTAAGGTTGCAGATTTAAAAAGTACTTGATATTAGTTATTTTCCTTTTTAATGTATGCGTATAGCTGACGACTAAAATCACTCCACACCACTCTACCACAAGGTCGTAAAAAATTGTTTAAAAAAAGATATTATTTTTAAAAAGGTGTCGCAGAGGCTATCTCTGGCTGCTATGACAGCTGTCAAACGCCGCGATGGCGCTATGTATTCTAAAACCACTACTAGATGATCTCTGACTTGATTTTTATTAATCTCTTATTAGATAAACAATGTAATATTGACACAATTAACTTACAGTGAGGAATTTGCAAGATTTTGTTGTAACTTTCTAATTAACATCAATTTAGGCTACTATAGTAAACTTGATGACCTTGTGTAAGAGTTCGTCCAGGTACTGTCAACTAACAGAACGGTCCTGGTGAACTTACAGACACATGACACTTATCAACTTATGTCTCAGGGTGACAGGCGCAGAGGCAATGTTCCTCGGATCTTTACGATTTAAAGATCTGAGTGGCACTGCAACTGTTATGAACAGGCGTGTCGCTTAACACTAGGCGCACAAATTGTACGTCCCTTCACTTGGTATCATAAAAAAAACCAACTGACCTATCTACAATAATATTAATTGTATTTCAAATCAATGATATTTCACGAATCTTCTAACAGTAGCCATGTAGCAAAAACCATCATGGCGTCAGTTTTAGCGGGAAATAACACTCAGCGCCATTCTTTTGGTATTTTGGCGGGGAAATTCATAGTACCCGCGAACGTTTGTGTAATACGTTTGGTTTCACCCATGAAATTGGATTTGGCGTCATCGATTTGTGAGCAGACACCATTGTTGCGAGACTTACGGTGATTACAATTTGAAATTTTTAGTTCCCTTTTGTCTGTTTTATTTTTACAAACTGAAATGGGGACTGGTAACCTGTAAATGCAGCCATTTTTAATGCTTATCTCCCTCACAAATACGGTTGAATAATGATACCACTTGTCTATAGGTTTTTTTATTACATAATTAATAATAATTGTGTAGTGGTAGAAAATGAATAAATTATATTATTATTCGAAAGTCAGGACGTTTTATCACTTGATATTCAATTATTTTTTTGTGAAATTACTCTACTTGTATGTTGTAATTCAAGCTGAATATGGGACAACACTCCTTTATCTTTCAGGCCGAAGTGTACGCCATAATTACTTGTGCGGATTTGACCCTGAAGAGAGGCTATGTTGACGAGCATATTTACATGAACTCAGATAGTCAAGCGGCTCTACATGCACTAGCCTCGGTCACCCACACATCAAGGATTGTTGAGAACTGTGTAAATATGCTGAATACTCTCGGGGAAAGTAATACAGTGGTACTACGCTGGTTTCCAGGTCACTCTGACATCGAGGGTAATGAGTCAGCGGATGAACTGGCAAAGGCTGGTACTAGGAAAACCTTTATTGGTCCCGAACCATTCATAGGGATAGCATACAGCCTGGCAAAGCTCACTCTACTAAATGAGACCACACACCTCTCCCGAGAAGTGTGGCTACAGAACATTCAAAAGCCCTGATATCTGCCTACAAGCTCTGTCATTGGACGGGAATGGCATAAGAATGCTAACTAGAGCCTTTACAGGGCATTGTGGCTTAAACAAGCACATGACAAATATTGGGCAGGGAGAGAGAGAATAGAGAATGTAGGTTCTGCCACAAGGCGGATGAAACTCCTGTTCATCTGCTCACCCAATGCTACCCCTTGATGGGCGTACGAAGTTCCGTACTGGGAAGGCACATGCCACAACCAGAGGACATTAATTCTGTCGGAGCCAGGAAAGTCCTTCTGTTCTTGGTCTTTGCCTCTGCACTGTAATTGGTGGTGATCACAATAGATCAGTCAATGGTCGCAGTGATGAGGGGATGCATAGGCCCTAATAAACCACCATAATAATAATAATAATGTCGTAATTATTAATACAAAGATCGATACGGCTAGACTTGAAACAGCGTTTTCTAGCAAATCATGCTAGACTCTATGTCAAGTAAGCCACGGAACGAACCCGCGGA